GAAGAACGATCCGGCCTCGAAAATTAGTGAAGAGCTGCTTCTGAAGCACTTTTTGGTGACCCACTCCAACAACCAAGGAAAGGAGGGAACTACATCTCTGGCTGGTGCCTCTGCTAATGCCACTGGAAAAAATAAAGCTCTTCCAAGGAGGAGTAGAAGCCTCCAAAAGGATTTGTGTATCATGCCACAGTTTTCTAGGAGGGTGACATTTTCTCTATGCCATTGTTACTCTTTTTTAAACTTTCCAGGAAAACAAGTCCAATGTCTCACAACTGACAGCTTCTACCTGGCACAAAAATTTATTGCCAGACGATGAGAAAAGATGTTAGCTGTTCACTTTCTCTGCACAGGGTTGGCTGTTTTTTGTAATCCCACAAAGGAGGAAAGAGGACCAAAAAAGGAGGACTCCTGCATCTATCTGTTTTCTCTCTTGGCTATCCCTTTGAGTAATAGTTTGAAAATTACCAGTGTTCAATTAGAATTATCCTTTTCAAACAGATGGCTAATTAAATGTTAATAGCATTAGCAGGCAAAATACCATAGAACTCACAAATGTTTGAGACATTCTGAATGCCATAGTCTACAGGCAAGGTAAAGCCAGAGCAATCCATGGCTTTATGATGGCCTCAAGGAGAGCAGATAGCTTCTTTCAATTAGTTCTACTTTTCTTAATTCTCTCCAGGAATCACACTTCAAAAAGAATCAAGTAGTTCTCATCCTGTCATCTCTGAGAGCCTGAATAAACAACAGAGGTAAGAGGGAGCTTTTTATTGCACTGAAGCAAAATAAATGGGCTGTTATGCAGCAACACTGGAAGAAGAGGTCAAGGAATCATTCCAGTTTTAAGTCAAAGGGAGAAGACTTTGGTCCAGTACTGAATGTCCAGTAAAGCACAGACATTATAAATGGAATATTCGGGGTCAGAAATAAGACTACCAAAACTCTTGAATTTCTCTGGCATCCAATGAATTCCCCAAACTTTTTTCTTTCCTTATCAGACAAAGCTTACACTAGAGAATGACTTTCTCATGCTGGAGTCCAGCTGCCATTCATGATAGAGCACCTATAGCCAAGGACCTGGAAAAGTAAAACACAATGGCTGGCTCCTAACCCACATCTGTAAATAGCCACAGGTGCAGAATTAAACCAGCAAGGGAGCACTGAAGGACCACCAGTTTGATGAGCCAGGAAGTTCCATGTCCTCTTGTAATTTTTTGGTCTGTTTGCTCCCCAAATCACAGTACTCTGAAAGCTAGAACAACCTTTTATCATCTTTTGAGACACCTGTGGAGAAAGTTTAAGAGCAGATGAGTAAGATGGAAATAGAAGTGGGCTCAGCTTCCCTTACCCCCACTCTTCCATAAATAAGTTGTACACGTATGTCAGGCAGCACCTGGCACTGCTTTTTAAACAGCTGGCAGTGCTCTATAAGGGGCCAATGAAAGGTACTGTGATAAAGTTCCCTTGTTACAATCAAGCGTTTCTCAGTAACTCAGCACACAATAGACGGAGGCTTGATTAAATAGCAGACAAAAAATGAAAAGCCCATCTGGAATCAAGGGGGCTGTAAGCTCTGGGGGTTAAATATAGTGTAGAGAACCAAAACAATGTGACACGGTAAACAGACCTGGTTCAATACGGCTTTTATTATCTTCCTGTACCCATACACCTTTGGGAATACACCTAAAGTGCCAGCTCAATTTTCCCACCCATCTTGCTTTGGTATGGAATCAGCGCTGGTCGAACCTCCTCCTTCAGGAACTTTGCCACCTGTTCAAGAAAGAGAAAATTAGCAAAAGAAAGGGTTCCTGTCTTCTCCCCATTCAGACCTGCTTGTCTCACTGGGGTCTCTGTTTCACACAGACACCTAGCAGTCTGATATGTCCAGGGTCAAAAATGTGAAGCCCACAAGGAAAGACAAGGAATCCAAGGAAAACGAACAAGATAAATGTGTCTGCTTTAGCAGTATGGGCAGAGGTACACAATATGTACTCTCTGGCACACAAGAGGATGCAGGATTAAAAACCACATTGCATTACAACCTGTAAAAATCATAGCCTCTTTCTGCTACTTCACCTGCTGAGGAGCACGTCCAGTGAAGGAGGAGGGATCCAACAGGCTTTCAAGTTGTTTATGGATAGGGCTGAAGTAAGGATCAGCTTGGACACGGGCAATGAAGTCATTATCACCCCCTTCCTGTTTCACAACAGCAGCTGCTTTCTGAGAAAGAACACGAATCTTCTCGTGGCAATCCTGTAGAAGCAGGGGGAAGAGGAGGGGAAAAGAAAGAAGTCATTCCATTGTTACTGACATGTGTTCATCCCTCTAACTTGTGCAGGAAGGAGAAACGTGAAAGCACTGGACAGCATACAAATGGGACACAGCTTGGACTCCAGTGTCTCATATACCCCTACATTAAAACAACATTTTCTTCATCCTTCCACATCTGCCCTTTGAGGCTAAAACAGTCTGAATGACACATATGTTCCCTGTTCACCACAAACTTACGACACTGGAATTTTTACAGTTCCTCAAACTCCCCAAATACTCTTAGGAGTCACTATAGGATTTTTTTTTTCAGTTGTTCTATTGCCTACTTGCATGACTTTTTCCAAAGACAGACTACAGTAGCTGTTCTCAAAGTAGTCTATGAATAAATAAAGGAATTCCTTATCCACCACTAGTTGTCCCCTGTATGGAACATCTTGGGAGCACAACAATGCAAAACTCTACAGGTTTGGAAAAGGGAAAATAACCTATCTAACTTGATGCACACTGAGACTATGTAAACCATGGCTTACATAAGGACAGACTGAAGGAAAAAAAAAACCCTACAAACCTGAGAGCCTTAGGACATTCTCTCCCAAACAACACTCACATGACACTAAGACTGGAAAAACCCTTATAACAATTTTTCTGAAACACTTCCTAATCCCTTGATTTCCTATGGAATCAATCTGCGAAAACAAAGGAACACAGCTGTAGTCAGGGACCATGTGCAAAATCAGCTGCTGCCAGGCTGGCCCTAAAATATCATCACGTGGTTGCATTTGCAGCCATGTAAGAATCTTCTCTTCACATGTATTATCCTTGATCTACCTTCAGTTAGGAAGAAAATGATCTCCTGTTCCTTGTTTCCTCCACCCAAAGGCCATCTTGCTCCAGCACTGACCTGCCTCAGGTGAACAGATCTGTCTTCTGGATAGTTGGGGGGGCAGCTGTTCAGTGGTGGGGAAGGGAAGTGAGTTTCTATGCTATGAGGTGGGAAAGCATAGAAAGTTTGCTGTTCTGAGCACACGAAAACAGAACATACTAATGAGAGTAAGAACAGGTAAGTGTACTAAATTGTACAGATTTGTAATTAAACAGCACCAGAAAGAAGGTAGGCCAATAACAAACACAAATAAAATTCACTCTTCAATCTAATCAAAATAGAGAGGACTGTTTAGGTAAGTATGGGATACTTTAGAATGAGAACCAGCTGAAAAGATAATGAAATTTACCCCCGTGATGTGACCCTTAGTAAGTTTAGTTAGGAAGTTTACTGACTGAC